TGCTGGGAGTACAGGCGTGTACCGCCACACCTGGCCAGASTTTCCACTTCTGATTCGGCATTCCCAATGCTGGGTTAAACAGTTTATTCAACTTTATTTATTTTTTAATTATTATTGTTCCTGGCATTAAACCCAGGGGTGCTTAAATATAGAGCAACACCCTCAGCCTTTTATTTTATATTTATTTTRAGACAGGGTCTCACTAAATTGCTTAAGTCCTCCCTAAGTTGCAGAGGCTGGCTTTGAACTTGGAACTCTCCTGCCTTAGCCTCCCAAATGACTGGGATTATAGGCATGCAACACCGTGCCCAGTTTAAAAACTGTCTACTCAAAAGAACAAGACATAGTGAACTTCATCAATGAGTTAATAGTCCAGCAGGGATGCAAACATGTGTGTATTCAATAGCTATGTGAAGAAAAGGCTAATTGTGACATATATTGTGGGATTGCCACAGAATGCAACAATCTCATCAGTATTTACAATGCTGATTATGTTACACCACACCAATTTCCTTTAATCCTCACACAGTCTTATGAAAGGATGTTAGCACTGTCATCTCCACCTCATAGAGAAGGAAACTGAAGTACAGTTTGTGGTCTCATATTTGGAAAATGACARAACTTGAATGTACTTCAGGGTAGCTGGTTCTGAATTCTATTCTCTGAACCATTGCTTATACTATTTCTCTGATGACCAATTGTATAATAGCTGTGCCTAGTATCATTTGATGATGTCCCTGAAATGAATACTTTTTAAAAACGTGTGTGTGGTGGGGGTAATTAGTGGGTGTCACCATGTCTGAACTCAGGGAGAGAAAATTTCTTAAGTAACAACACCCAGAGTGCACTGTGATGTTCTGAGAACCACAGTTCAGCTGCAGTAACCCATGTCTGGAATTCCTTTTGGGATACCTGGGGGATTCTGAATTTTGTTCTCTGGTTAGTAAATGTTACTCAGAACTTCAAATCAGGTAGATAGGTGATTCCTGTGATTACGTTGACTTTTACAAATTATTCAATATATGGTGTATATACACAATGGAGTTTTACTCAGTCAAAAAGAAGAAAGAAATTGTCATTTGCAGGAAAATGGGTGGAACTGAAGAGAATCATGTTATATGAAATATGCCAGATTCAGAAAGTCAAGGATCATGTGTTTTCTCTTGGATGTGGAAGCTAAAGAGAAAAAAAAAAGGAAATAAGGCGGGGATTTTGTGAAAATAGAAGGGAGACCAATAGAATAAAGAAAGAGGACTAGAAAGAAAAAGGGGAAGTACTGGAGAATGAAATTGATCAAATTATGTTATGTGCATATATRCATTTATCATAATAGATCCCATTTTTGTAAAATTGTAACACATCAATCAATAATCTTTAAAAAGCAAAAATTTTAAAAAGCAACAGGAAAATCATTTTGAGAAGCTATATTAGAGGCGGGTAAATGACAATGTAGTACAGGTATATAATGGTGATTTGATTAATTCCCCCAGTGGCAGGAGGGAAGGCTGAGACGATGATATAGTTTAGATATAGAAAGAACAAAATCTAATGAAAAATTTGATCATGGCGAATGTAGAAGAACCCAAAAGAAAGAATCCACACTATAATCTGGACTTGATAGCCTAAGTGACTTTTAGAGTGAATTTTTTAAACAGGAAAGATAATTTGATAAGTGTTCTCCACTTAAATTTGTGTGGTTTGTATCCTGAAGTGTTGATGAAGATCATGATCTCAGTTGGGACATGCAAAGACACGTGTAAACAGCGGTAGGGCTCTGAARCTTTATGAACTAAACTGTGAGGTCTTTAGTTCCTAAAAACAAGTTAAAAAWAAAAAAACAGCAGGTAGAAGGGGAAGAATCAGAAGAGGAGATAGAAGGCAGTAAAATGAGGAGCATGAAGAAATAGCAAAGAGTGGATCCAAGAGAAGAGTTTCAAAACAGTATAAATGGTGAATTTAAAAAAAAAATCAAATGTATAAGATGTTAAATATGTAAGTGGACTAAAAACTGTAGTTACAACTGTCAAATTTGGAGATCCCTGGGGACACCAACAAGAGAAGTTCCTGTGAGTTTTGGTCTAAAATTCACATTTCAACAGGCTGAATCAGAAAAGACTAAGGACGACAGTTGTGTAGAATACTAAAGATGTTTATCAGGAAAGAGAAGGTCTGGTTGCTATACAGAGGGTCCTGCCAGTGGAAAGGATTATTTTGTTTCCAACATCTATGTAGGTGGGGGAAACTGAAGTGCATAATGTACAGATTAAAAGTAATATTTTATGGGCAGCAATGTGTTAAAAAGGGAGACTGATTCATGGAATAAAGTTCTTTATTTTATGAGATTAGATAAAAATCAATAATTTGGGTTGATGTGGTGGCACATATCTATAATCTCAGCTACTCAGGAGGCTGAGGCAGGAGGATCACAAATTGGAGGCCAACCTTGGCAACTTAGTGAGATCATGTCTCAAAATAAAAGACTAAAAGGGCTGAAGGTATAGYTCAGTGGTAGAGCACTTGCCTATCATGTGTAAAGCCCTGGTTTAATACCCGGTTACACAATAAATAAATAAATGAATAAATAAATAAATAAATAAATAAATAAATGGATGAATGAATGAATGGAGGAGGGTACTTTTAGCATCAAAGGTTTGTTCTTGAGTAAACTATTCATCATTGAGACTATTCAAGTGGGAGTAGGAGAGGGCATTTGATAGACTATATCAAATACCATTGCTTCTGTATAGCTTTACATTTATCCTAATTGTCAAGGGCATCAGATTCTCCTTAGAATAAGAGACTTGCATTTGACTCCCAGCTCTTCCTCAGACTGAATGGCCTCATTTACTTATTGTAAAATGRGAATGTTAGTACTCACCAAAGGAGTTATCATTAGTTCATGAAATAAACCATTCAAAGTGTGTTTGTGTGTGCTCTTAGATTTTGCTTCAGAATCAGCCAGCAATAGAGTGCATTCTAGAGATAACTGAAAGTTATATGGAAAACAGATGACATTTGTGAGTTAGTATTAATTACAGTGTATGTGACAATGATATTGTCATTGTGGTATAATGTTTGTAATTTTGAAGATGTGTATTGAATAATTTAGGGGTGAAGTTGGTTATGATGTCTAAATTTTGCTTTGATATGGTCCAGCAAAAATATCTATTGATCTAAATAGTGATTAACACAATTGTAATTAAATAATTAAGTGTATAATTAAGTATAAAAATAAGTTATCCTATTTCTATCTTTAACAACATAAACTCTATGATACGAGGACTAGGTACATCTAGGTCACTGTGCATCTCTAATCCCTGACATAGTCTTGGTAAATAGGTAGACTCACATTTGCATAAGATATATACACACATACAAATATGTAGGTATGAATACACACACACGTGGTGTATATATATGAAACACTGTAAAACATTAGCACTTGCTAATGAGTGGGCATACAGGTGTTTATGTATGCCCATTTATGTTTCTCTGTATGTGTACCCATTTTCAAAATAAATTACTTACTCTAACAATATGCATTCATTTAACTCTCAAATCAGATATATCCATTTGAATCAATGGCCCCACTGAATTAAAAATATCAAGTAATTTGTAAATAGTGTATATTCAGTAAATGTCACTCCTTCTGTTATAGCACCTATATTCTATTACTGTCACTTAGCACACTATGCCTAATTTCATAGCTTTTGAATTAACTATTATGTCTCAGCTATGCAACTTAATTCTAGAGGACTTTCTTGGCTGGGTCTTTACTTTTCTCAACTCACTAAGTCTAAAGTGCTTTTGTGTGTGTGTGTGGGGGGGGTGGCGGGGGTAAGTAAATATGCTTGTTGGCTAAATAAATGGATATCTTTAAGCTTCATTCCTGGAGGGAAGTTTTCATCAACAAGAGGACAAAGGCCCAAACTTATACCCTTGTTTATTACCAGCGGTTAACTCTTCACGGAAGGTGGACTACAAAGTTCTTGCAGGAGGATGTCTTCTCTAATACTGTGATCTTTAACATCTATAGGACATAGCACTGTGCCTGGTAGACTCCCTGGATGTTTGTTGAATGGATGAATAAATGACTGGCGGAATGAATGAGTGTAAGAGTAAGAGATAATTATTTAAACACTCAACATCTTAATGATTTCATTAGAGGTCACTGACCAAATAGAAAAATGGGATTTAACTCCTTCTCTTTTTTGATCTTCAATGAGGCCTTCATCACAATTGATTCTTTAATAAGACTGAAAGAAATGGGGGAAATCCAACATAAAAGGCTGTGAAAATACAATAAGCAACCAACCAAAGAATGATTATTGTTGATTATAAGATAGTCAAAGCAGAGAGAAAGCAAGAGGAGGTGAGAAAAGAGTTCCAACTAAAGATACTCTGAATCCAAGGAATTGTAGAGAGGCCAGACCATGTCGATGAACAGTCTTATTTTTCAGAGGGGGAACTTAAAGCTAACTAAGAGGCTAATTAAACTGAAGAATGAGGACACAATCACCTGAGTTACTACCCTGACTTCTGTCTATGACCATTACCCAGACTACCAGAAGGAAAGAGAAAAAAAGCATTATTGATGTAGGAATTAACCCCAGGCACACACTTGAAATTATTGAAAGCTAATTTCTATAGTGATTATCAGAGGCTTCACTCTTCTCCTAGAGAAACACAGATAATTCTCACTGTATCTATACTTCCCTCTTCACATCCAGTTCTTCGCTGTTTCTCATGACTGGGGGCAGTGGTGGGAGGAGAAGTTTAAAAAAAAAAAGAAAGAGAAGGGCTATCTGTAAACAGAGGAATTGTGCAAATAGAGATCAGAATCACGTGTGGGAATAAAAATTATTCCAATGTTAAAAAAAACAGTCTGGTTTAAATAACTGACACAAAAAGAAAACATATTTGACCCTTTTTTTTCTTTGGTACTCACTCAGACTTCAAGCTAGCAATTAAGACAGAGAAAATATATATGGTCTACTTACCCGTTCTGTATGGCGGCTGTGGGGTCATAGGTCAGAGCCATGCCAGCCTGCACATGGGGGGAGAGGGGAGGAAASAAGTCTCAGTATTTTTATTAGAACACCCAGAACATTCAGTTCAAAGATTTCTATCTTTACTTTTCATGATTTGTGTTTATTTTCTCCTATATATTACTTCACACTTACTGCCCAAACTAGCACAAACCAGACTCCCACCAGTGATATAGATAATATATCCAGACAAACCAAGGTGCATTGGAACTTGGATGATTTCCATTTCTACTTCATAAACCATCCGCTGTCTAATTTGGTATCCTTATAATTTCTCACTAGTGTCAAGAGCAGCTCTTGTGGGTTTCATGGCTAGCACGAAAAAAGTAAGAATGAATCCTGTAGTCTGGATAAAAATAAAAGAGACTTAAAATGCATTCAACCTGGTAGAAGAAACTTAGGAAATATTTATTTTAAAATAGATCCCATGCAGGGAATGAATGACAAAGCGCTTGTCATATGGATTTCTAGTACCTGTTCTATCAAGTATGGTAGGAAAGGGAGATTATTTACATATGACGGAAATTTTAGGCCACATGGCTAATAACGAGGTAGTTTGGTTCTGTTTCTAAGAATAAGGCCACCTCTGAAAAGCTACGCTTCTGTAACCTGCCATGTTTTCAGAAAAGAATACAAGCTTGAGGATTGCTGGTTCATAGCCTGCCATGTCCCTGCCTGTACAGCATCATATTTGATCCTCACAACCCCCATGAAGTAGGCAGGAACATGATTTTCTCCATTTTATTGATGAACACACTGAAGCTGGGAAAGATCAAGCCTCTTGCTCAGGGTCACAAATTTGAAGGCAAAATCAGATTTTAACCCAAGTCTTCCAATGTAGGCCACTTTTCACTCTTCTGCTACGACACTGGCCTAGGGTTGGAAAGTGGCCAGAGGATCCATCAGGGAGAACCTTCTCTGTGGCTATCGGAACACATCACCTTTGGTTTACCAGGGTGGGCAGTATGGTTATCACCTGTGTGTAGGAATAAAATGTAAAATGCAACTTAAGACTGCCCAGGTTGTCTTTAGGGAGGATTTCTTTTTCTCTTTTGAAAATTGAAAAGTGAATTATATCAACATCAATTTCTAGGCTTTGATATTGTACTGTAATTACACAGGATGTAACCACTGGGAGAAATGAGGTAAAGTATATACAGGGCTACCCTGTAATTTTTTTTGTTTGTTTTTTACAACTTTCTGTCAATCTGTAGTTACTTCAAAATAAAAACGCTAAGAAAAAAGTGAATGAGATTGGAGGACTTTTGTAGTTTAAGAAAAACTATAAAAATTTTAACGAAAAATGAAGAGCATTTATATGTGTTGTTGCTATTGTTGTTTTGTTTGTTTGTTTGTTTGTTTCTTTTCCCAGCATGGCATAGCTGGAGGTGATTTTCCTGTTGGGCTCTTTGAATTCCTCAGATGTAGCACCTAACTGAAATGAAAATTCTTCATGCTGCCTAACATGGGACCTGAGGTATGGTCTGGTCTGCTGCATTCAAGTTTATATTCCTTATGTTGTTTTACCTAAGTAGTAATTTCTATATTGTCCTTACCGTTGGTATGAGGAACAGAAGCACAGAACCATACATGAATGAAATTGGCATAAAAGGAGAATAAAAAAATCGAAATGGAGTTTGTATACCAAACTGAGATGACTGTCAAGCAACAACAGAGGTGCACTGAGGGTACGTGTTTAATGACAACTGCATGACCTCTTTAAACTTGAGGATCTCAGTCATGTTAAAGAAACATGCAACCCATAATATGACAAGCTGGGGAACTGGGAAATGAGAAGAGAATAAAACAGCAAATAGGAAGGTTTTTGCTTTGTGCCTTGAGAGAGGTAAAAATGGTAATGGTGTCAAAACACAAAAAAGATCTGAAGTCTGCATTCTTTCCTGGGATGGGGCCTCTACCACATGACAAGTGGAAGGCTGGCCAGACTGAACTCTCTCCAGAAGGAAGCTTGTCCAAGGCTGAGCCAAAACTCTAAATTCCTGGGAGCTAGAGAAGGCAATGGTAAAAGTTGTGCATTTGGAATGAGATTTTACTCTTCAGGATGCTAAACTTTTCTCCCATAACTCATCTAAGATGTCACACTAGGTGCAGAATGAAAATATACGTTTAACATTCCAGTAGAGAGATTGTTTGTTCAGGAAACATTTAGGATGCTAAGCATATCTTTAGCCTTCTAACTGCTTTAATTTGTTTAAATTCTTCCCTACAGAAAGCCTTCCCCTAGTCATCCTCACATCCATTTCTTTTCCCTGTACTTGTTTCCAACAGTGCTCAGTGAGAGAGACCAATGCTATGTAGTCCTTCTTAAATTATAAATAATCTAGAACATTCTAATACTCTTTATTTGTTCTAGCAACTTTAAGTAAGGATTTCTGTTTTCTCACATTTTACTTAAATTCCTTGTGGATACGAGTTAGTCAATCTATCCTAGCTAGAAATATAGTAATAATCAATCAACTCGATGTCTTGGTTCAATATGTATTTCAGTCAGAAAAATCCATATTGGTCTCTTCCTCCATTGTTCATCTTCTTTTTATCTTTCAGCCAAGAAAAGAGAACTGAGTAGATAGCAATATAGTATAGTGGGAAGCAAGTAGCTTTTGGAACCAGACAAGTCTGGGTCACCTCCTCACTCTGTTTCTAGTAGTGTGCCCTTGGGCAAATTACTCAACCTATTTGAGCTTCAGTTTCCTCAACTATTAAATGGTATGATACCTACCTCATCAGATTGTTGTGAAATTTAAATGAGATTACGTTTTGTAAAGCGCCCAGCACAGTGCCTGGAGACAAGACACATACATAAATATTATAATACAAAGCAATATGTGGTAAGTGCCATATGAGTGGTATGGATGAGGTGGGGAGGAGAGGGGCTGGTGATGATGATCAGGTAAGGCACAGAGAGGAGGGACAGTTGAGGCGGGCTCTGAAAGATGAGTAGGATTGCTATGAATGGAGGTGAGAGGTGAAGGCCAGCTCAGGCAAAAGGAATAGAATGAAAAAAAAATATAAATAAAAATGACATGGTATAAATAAAAATGCCCTACTTTTGGTAGAATACATGATGGGGAGAATAAGATCCAAAAGGTCAGGAGGGAGGATCTTGGTTGCCCAGCTCCTCTTGGGGGAACAACTGAATATTTTTGAGCAGGGAACATTTATAATCACAAAGAGGGATTGGACGACAATACACAGCATGAACCCCCTGGAAAACAGAGGGTAAATCCAGTGCAATGAGCAACTGGTGTATGTTTCTAGGATCAGGGAGGTGGAGAAAATCTAAGGTGAGATTATCATTGCAAAAGGGTAGGGAATGAATACAAGTTTCACCTACTTCATGATTTTGCCTAGGGATAGTCCTGTCTCTGAGTACCTTTGGCAAGAGGAGACAACAAGAGATAGTGTCAGGACACATGCATTTGGAACATCTTGGGTTACAAATCAAGGCAAGGGTTAAACATCATTTTTCTTCTTCTTTCTTAACGTCACTGTTGACTGAATATCCTAGCACAACAACTACACTTGACTACGCCCAGTTTTCACCTCATGTGTAACAGAGTGCTAAGTTATAATTCTAATATGGTCTTAATGCAGATTTTGCATTCAATTTCCTTTTGTCTCTTCCCACAAAGATGAAAAATAAATTGATTTTGCTGCTCTGTCTAGCCACCTTTATACAAAGCTGGAACCATGAAATCATCCTTATGTAATCGCCAAATGTTATGGCATGTTTACAAACTCCAGAGTCACACAAAATGCAAAAGATCTTGGAACAAAATAAAAATGTTGCACCACATATGTAGAAAAGTGATGTTTAATTCTGTCACTTACTTTCAAAAAGTGWTTATTACATTTATAAATATTTCCCATTTTTGAATTCACATTATTTGTATTTCAGAGGTATGTAAAATTTATTTACAACAAAATGGGGTATTTTTGTCATTTTTCCAATAATAGCTGAGTTTTGGCTTCATATTTCAGCCATAATTGGATATTTCTAGGTCTCCTAGACAGAATCATTGTTTAGACAGCTAAATATTTTAGAAAAAAAATTTAAATTTAAAATTTCATTGCAGTAATCAGAGTGTTTTTATTTTCAGTAAATATGGAGGGTTTGTTGAGATGGATTAGTTTGATGTGGTCTTACCTTTTCAGTCATGTGTTAAGACAGACCTTCGTCTTCTGAAGAACAGGGAATAATTAATTGACTCTAACAAAGTCAAGGAGAAGATGGCTGGAAGGATTGTCCTACGATATTTGAAACTATTTTTATACTGAATAAGAACGGGATCAAAAACTTAGAGGCAACAAAATTTATACAACCAGAAACAGACTGAAATTTCTGAAAAACTGAAACATAGTGGTTTAGACTATCATTTCTCCTTTCCCTAATTTCTGTCTTGACACATCATGTATTATAACTACATAAAATACAAAGGAATAATTCCAAGGATTCCCAGTCTTCTATGATTGGACTTAACACTTTAGTAAACTTTTAGTAAATATATTTTAGCAATTATTCTGTTCTGGATCAGTTCAAGTGGAGTTCAAAAAGCTAAGGATAAAGATGATATAGTTTTCTGGATGCAAGTTTCTTCCTTGCAACCAGGTTTATAGTATTTAACAACTGTTAGGTGGTCATGATTAAATATTCAATAAATAAAATAAGATGACTTAAAAGATAATATGCTTTAAAYGGGCTTACAAAGTATGTACCATAAACATTTAGGTACTGCTATCAAAGTAAAATCTCACTTAAATTTGCTTATATTTGTTCACAAATATGTCTTTGAAAACAGCCCATAGTGAACAAATGATAATACACAATTATGTGTACAATGTGTTTTTTAAAAAAAAAAATTAAAGATTTAAATCTCTGACTAGAAGTAAAACCAAAGTTAATCTCAAGAAATGATAAAGCTGGGATGGTCTAATTCTAAATGACTTTTTATGCTTCAACAAATGTGAAAAATACTCT